AACTTTAACATGTCCAATAGATAACCAAGTTCATTACGTTGGAAAATGTCCGGAATTTTTGAAACTTCCCGTAGATCAACGGGCAGAGCTGGTGAAGCATCATAAGCTGTGCTTCAACTGCTTAGGCCAACACAGATTTAGTGAATGCACATCGTCTAAGCGATGTTTCATCAACAACTGCGGAGGGAAACACCATTAAACTCGACACATCGACAGAAAGCCGTTTCAAACGTACAACCAAAAATCAAATAACATGCAGCTTGTCACTACAGTAACCAAGCCCTCGGAACAAGCTGAGGATCCAATCCAAAACATGAACAACATCAAAAACCAGTAAAAATTTATGCCGGTAACACTGTTTAACAATGGCATCAAACTAGATTGCTACGCCATACTCGAAAACTGCAGCAGCTGCTCATATATTCTCAGCAAAACAGCTGAAACACTTCAGTGTAAGCCAAGCCAATAACTACAGCTTAGCGTTCGAGATGCTTTCAGTCATGACAAAGTGTCTTCCTCGCTGGTCCGGATTAGTATCGGACCACATAACGCTAAAAAGCCTACTTTCACCCTACAATCAGTCTATTCAGTTGAAACTCTGAGTTTTGATGCCATCGACGCAAACAACCTTAACAAAACGTGCTCACTCTACAGCCACCTTCGACATGTCAACTTTCCTGATCTAGGCGACAACACAGTTCAATTTTTGCTTGGCGTAGACAATTTCTGGAATATTGCGGAGTCAAAAACATTTTAGGTTGGACGATCACTAGCCCACTCAAACAGAAATCTAATAGTTCCGGATCAAATTCACATTCAACTAACTTCATTGACTTGACTGATCAAGAAGACGCTAATCTCACTGAATCAGTGGAAAAATTTTGGGAAGTGGAAGGATCAGGCAGCCAGGAAGATAACAAAGCTACATACTCCGATGAAAGCAAATGACAATTAAGATTTATGGAAAAAAGCATTGAGAACGGTGGAGATCGCTACAAAATAAATCTACTCTGGAAAAACGAAAAGAAATAACTGAACAACTATCCGGTAGCTGAAGTTTAACTGCTATCACTACAAAAACGGCTCAGATAAGAACCTGAAACCATGCAACTTTTTGAGAAATCGCTTACTACTGACCTGGAAAATAACTACATTAAGCCCGTTTTTTTCCAATACCCACAACCTGGATTACTTTGGTACCTACCACATCACCCTGTAACTAATCCAAACAAGCCCGGCAAGGTACACAGAGAGGCCAACGCTGCCTCAACGTACGCAGGCGTATCGCTGAACTCTTTCCTTGAAACTTGACCTGACCTCCTGAACAACATGTTTGGACTTCTACTACAATTCCGGGAAAAACCTGTGGCTGTATCGGCGGATATTGAAGGCTTGTTTATGCAAATAGGTATTCAACATGAAGATCAAAATGCGCTTTGCTTCCTTTGGCCTAATAAAAATAGTATCTAACAATACCAAAACACGCGACTTATCTTTGGTGCAAAATGCTCACCATCCACTGCCATCTTGGCGCTTCATCAAACAGCTGCCGATTACTGCCTAACCAAACCCAATATTGCTCAACTGCTTCACAAAAGCTTTTATATGGACGACTTTGTTCACTCGTTCAAAACGACACACGAGGCTAGAGACCCTACTACGCAACTAAAATCCTCCCTAAGACAGGGGTGTTTCAACCTAACTAAGTTCGTATCTAACACTAATGACGCGATCTACTCCATTGATGGAGGCGAAGTTTCTACTAAGGCTACAGTGCATCGTGTCCTGGGGGTCAAATTGGACACAACTGACGATACAATATTCGTGCAACCAACAACCAAGCTAACTAATACTACCTCATCAACACTCCGAACAGTTCTCTCTACAGTAGCAAGGGTTTTCGACCCCTTAGGCATCCTAGCGCCGTTTGTCATAAAACTCAAAATTCTTCTGCAAAACTTGTGGAAGTCTGGCATCTCTTTGGACAAAACCGTGCCCAGTGACTTTGTTCCGATAATTGACAAATGTGTCGACCAATGCAAACAAGTACCCCCTGTTAGGCTGCCGCGCTTACTTGGTCCACAGCTGTCATCTAATGATATACAGCTTCATGTTTTCTGCGACGCGTCCCAAGATGCAATGGCTACGTGTATCTACTTCCGAACTGCTTGTAGCTCTGGCATACACGCTACTTTTTTGATTGGCAGAACATAGGTAGCACCACTGAACCAATAAAGCACTCCTAAACTGTAATTACAAACCGCCCTTATGGGTGCTCAGCTATGCAAGTTCGCTAGCTACTGATGAAATGCGATTAAAGCCCCACTCCACTCACTTTTGGACAGATAGCACTACTGTTTTGTCCTGGATTGCATCACCTGGTAAACTGAAAACTTACTGCACAAACAGAGGTGGTGAAATACTTACTTTACGCAAAGCCGAACAATGGAAACACATCCCTGGTAGACTCAACCCAGCAGACAGTGCTACGCGGTGAATTGAACTTAAGGACGCAGCAAAGCTCTGGTTGGATGCATCACAATTTCTACTCAACAACGATCCTATTTGGGGGATCAACGAAATAATGGAACAAAGTAATGCTACAACGGTTATCCCCTCAACTACACCCTTAATCGATTCTTCCAGGTTTTCAGACTGGTCTCGGTTAGTTCGGGTCAACGATCGGGTTATAGTTTTTGTCGATACACTGGAGGGAAACGGTAAACGTTCTACCACTATGGAAGCCCTAGAAAAAGCTAATCTCCTCCTTTATCAACAATCCCAGCAAGAAAATTTTGGTGACACCTACAATCAACTACGAACCAAGCAGCAGGTTGAAAACAAAGACAAACTGCAACAGCTGTCACCTTTTCTCGACAACGGCATTATTCGCGCGCAAGGGCGACTACGAAATTCACCCTTACCGGACGCAACAAAGCATTCAATAATTCTTAACGCAAAGGACCCAATTGTGCGCATGATGATCGAGAGCACTCATTGCCTCTGCATGCATCACGGCACTGAGTACATTCGCAACTACTTGCAACAAAGTTTTGTCATCATTGGGCTCCGAAAAGCACTCAGACAGATAAGACATAACTGCTTCCTCTGCAGAAGATTCCAAGGCAAAGGGCTGCATCCACTCATGGCCGACTTGCCGCCAACTCGTTTCGACGATCCGTTTGACGACCCATTTCCGTTCAAAAACACAAAAATTGACTATATCGGGCCATTCTACATAGGAACAAAGGATGCAACTGAAAAAAAAACTATATTTGCCTCTTCACATGCCTCTCTAATCGCGCGGTTCACCTGAAATCGACAGAGAACCTTACTACGAACAAGTTTATAACGGCAATTAGACGTTTCATTGCTAGGAGAGGCACACCTCTCTCTGACAACGCTACTTGAGCTTTTAATCTCTGACAACGCTACTTACTTCGTCGGCACCCGTAAACAACTACGCTCAGAACCAATCAACTTCAACGAAACCACCCTAACTGAAACGCTACAAATCCACAATGTTGAATGGCGCCTGAATCCTCCGGCTGCCCCCAATTTTGGCGGCGTGTGCGAGCGACTCGTCTCAATGATAAAACGAGCTTTCTTACTAAATCTCGGTTCTGATCGACTATCAAGAGATCTATTCGCTACTATCGTAGCCGAGACCGAGGCAATCCTCAACTCACGTCCGCTAACTCATGTCAGTAGTGACCTTGACGACAACCTTCCACTGACACCCAACCACTTGTTAAGGGGTCGTCCATTCGTCTACGCTCCAGCAGCAGCCTTCTACGAAGCATCTACCAGTAAACTGTCCAACAAGTCTTGGAAGCGAGCAAAAGATAGACTTGACAGCTTCTGTAGGCGTCTACTTAAAGAGTACGCTCCGACTCTCATCAGAAGGACTAAATGGACGCAACCCGAGGAACCACTCGAAAAAGATGAACTCGTGTGGATACTTGAGGACTTTACACCACGAGACATCTGGCAACTGGGTCGAGGGTTAGAAGTTTTTACCGGCTCGGATGGCATCGCGCGCTCGTGTAAACTGAAAACAGCCCTAGGTACTTTAACGAGACCAGTGGTGAAACTTGCCTTCTTATCCCCAAAAAAGAAGATTTAAGACCACTTTAATTGTACTACAACAACAAAAAAAAACTTGGCTCCACCCCTTCCCCTTCGGTTCTAAATAAGATCTCCCTCCCCCGAGGATATTCATGACATGAATTCTCTCACATTAATTATAGAAAAATGCGGTAAAATACTTTTGATTTGTTCCGAACTAATGAGTAATAAATTTGACTTCAACAAAGTGACTTTTAAGTCATGTTCATCAAATTGTCTTGAATAGACGGTTTAAATTCAATCTGTTCTCCTTTTTTTAACCTTAGTTTAGTTACTCTTAAGTATTCCAGTGGAATTTGAACACTCTTTATAACAAAACATACCTTTTTTGTTGAATCGGTCGAAACATAAATCGAGCATATCGACCAGTGAAAAAAACTTTGTAGCATCGCAATTTTATAAAGCTTGATTTAAATAGGATAGATGAGGCCCGTAGGGTACTTTAAAATTCACAAAATCATGACCTTTAGGCTGATAAAATGGCCATAGTGTTTTTGCTGTCTATATTTATTAATGAGCATTTTAATGAGCTGTTCTTTATGGTAAACAACAAACATTAATGAAGAATCCGTATTTCAGAAAAGAAGTAAAATATGAAATACGGAAGCCGTTCTTAAATCCGATGAGTAGAATCTTGCTTTTTACTGTTGATAAAATATGATTGAGATTGAATGGAGTCGAGACCATCTAACACCAATTCTGTGAAACTAACTTTTGAAACTATTTTAAAGAACCAGCAGCGAATGATATTTTGATAAGGTTTTCCTGTAATCACACGTTTCAAAATTCAGTTTAGAAAAATCTGTTTTCCTTATTCAAATTATTATCTATAAATGATTCAAAGATCTACGCTTGGGACATTTTTGAATATATCGGACGCATCTTCGGCTTTGGGACCCGACAGTCATAATGGTACCACTCATTCTGTTATGGCCTTTTATTATGGCTCTTTGTTGTGGCATTTGCGATTGTATTCGAGTGAGTAAAAAAACAATGACAGGAGGCAAGCAGCCGAATATAGTGTTTATGTTCGCAGATGACCTTGGGTGGAATGACGTCAGCTTCCACGGTAGTCGACAGGTAAGACTAATTTCATTCTTTTTGAAAGCTCCGCTTAAGTTCAAATAATTTGACTACGATAACAGCGAAAGGTTTCAAATGCTCATAGACAATGAGAGCCAGCGAGATGATGAATTTCTGTTCCGTTTCGTCTTTTAACCTGCATTTATTTAAATTAAATTGTTCATATGTGGATTGCAGTGTTTTTTCAACATTTTTGAATTCGAAAAAAAAATTCTCATTTTCTACATAGGAAATTTTCTCACATCGTTTCCGTGAAATTTTTCTTGCAATTTTATTGAACGTACCAGTCGACTCTATACAACCACGCAAAGAAAATGCTTATTTTGCGTTCAAAGAAGACTCCTACAACAGAAAGCTCTTTCTCAGTACATGAAATGGGCCGAAACAACATGATAACGTAAGTTTTCACTAAATTGATCCATTTTTGTTTGTAGGTAAAGACGCCCTTCATTGACAGTCTGGCAGCCTCTGGATTGATTCTGAACAATTATTACGCGGCTGCTATGTGTACCCCCAGCAGAGCCGCATTCCTCAGTGGAAGATACCCATTCAGAACTGGACTTCAGGAATGTCCCGCCTTTTTTCCTCATCAACTCACCCCCCTTTTTTCAGATACTACACTTAAAAATGCTTAACTAGTTTGACATAATATCATGCCCCTTTCTTTCGTGATTAAGACAATATACCCGCTCTTTGGAACTATTTTACCCCCCCCCCTTTTTTTGTTTAACCACCAGTAAGGGGAGCGTCTTAATTTTTATCGGGAGTAGATGAATATATTGTGAAAGGTTAAGTTAATTTGGCTGGTGCCAGTATTATTGCCTTTAACTAACCAAGACTGCTCGTACACCGGGGCAAAACACTAAATGCTACCTTTTCCCTGTTACTGGTCTCGAATCATTATCGTAAAAAATGATAAATTTTAAATTTTGGACTGTCTTTATCAAATATTAAGTACTAAACTTTGAGTCCGAATAGATAACTAAAAAAAAACGTCATAGCTTCTCGGGTTACGACGTCGCTGAACAAATTATTGCTGTTTCAGGCCCTTGTCAGTGGCCATTTATCCATGCTCAAACCTCACTCAAACATCGATAAATCAGCCCTGAAATCCCAGCTCTGAGTTAGCGCTGAATCAACCGTGAAACAGCACTAAATTTTGCCCTGATATCCTGACAATTTTTATACAAATAAAGCTCTCAATTATGATTATGATCTCAAAATCGGTAGCTTTAAATTCTGTCAAGTACATTACTTTTTAGCCATCGCCGCAATGAAATACTTAGGACTCAGTGCATCAAATTACTTAAAACCAAAGCTGTTTCAAGTCTTGATCAGTGGTTAATTATCCATGTGGTAAAATGTTATTTTGTTACAGCTAACTCTACTTATATACAATTAAAAGAATAAAAGGATAAAAGGTAATCAATCTGAAATTTAAAACATTAAAAAAGTGACAGAGCATCTTCTCCGCCGGAGAGAAAGTATGTATCAAGGTCAAACGTAATTAACCTGTTAAATCAATTAAGATTAAGATTGAACTAAATAAAACTAAGTACATAAGTGACGTCACATATTTCCTCAAAGCAGGAAAAAATTTCAGTTACGGTAATTATCAATAACTGCTCTTTTTCTTTTCGAGGATCTTCTCTTCAAGGGGTCCTTCAAGGTTTTTTTTTTCTATAAAACACAGTATTAAATTGCATCAAATTTGATAAAGGAAAATTAACTACCGAATTAATTGTGCGGCTAAACATAAAGACTCCGCACTACCATTAAAACAAAATACAACCCGATGGAGTATAAATTTTACTAGCGACCTTTTACACTAACTCAAGAATATTAAATGTATTACAACACAAAAGATGTGAGTTTTAATGATTGAAGGCAGTTACGGGGTAGTAAATCCACAAATTGTACGAATGGGGGTTCCCGTTGGAGTGAAATTTTGCTCCGAAGAGTTTAAAAGTTTATGGTACACAAAATCACTGCCCAAAAAGGGTATTGTTTAAGTATCAAAGAAAATGGATGGATGTATAAGTTAACATTGGTCAAAAGATCAAGACCAACAACAAAACGGGAAAATAGGTTCAGAAAAAATAGTCGTTTTTTTTTCAGTTTTTATCCCCACTGACGAATTTGTTTTTTCGAGTAGATGGAAACCATTGTCCTGGTGTTGTTATCCGATTTGGTCATCTCAATCTCTTTTTTGGTCTTCTGGTCTTTATTAACAATGCAGAACTTATTCATGACAACCTGCGACGTTAACCCGAGTTGCCACAATTTAATTTGGAACGGTTTCGAGTGCGGGATAAATTGCAAAGCATTCATAATTCACGTTACGTTTTTAGCATAATTCACGTTACGCTTTTAACACATTCAAAAAAATGCACAACAATTAAACCCAGGAAATAGATAAATTGGAAATTTTCATGCACCCAGAACTTGATGAAATATATAAAAACTTCGATGAAGATTAATATTTCGTTCTTCAAATTATCTGAACAAAAACCAGCCTAAACATGCTTACGTCTTCGAAAATCTGAACGCTATTAAATATATAATAAAATTCAGACAAATCAAATTAACTGCAGCCTAGGGTCTGTCACGTGAATTTTAACTTACGGCGTCCACCCGTGTTTCCTATTAAGCAAAAATGTTCTTTTTGAAAAAAAATAACAGCTGGCGAAATGAATGAAAAACTTTTTTTATTTATGATAACACATTCCGATTGAAATTTTTTCAAAGAGAAAACACTGGATGGGGCTATAGGAGAGTTGATGAACAAGAACTGAAAACAGAACTACGTCATTGACTCCGGGCAGAGGATGGGGCTGCCGCTGGAAAATAAATTGCTCCCCCAACATCTGAATGAGTTGGGATATGAGAGTCACATGGTTGGCAAGTGGCATCTCGGATCCTTCCACAAAAAGTCAGTAAGAGCAATTAATTTTTGTTCCCAAGTTTTAGTGCTTGTTTATTGTATTTTCAACCTGAAACATAGTAAAAATACCACAATAAAGCAAAAGAGTGAATATCAGTTTCTTTGCCCCGGTAGGAGGTTGTGGTTTTATGATCAATCGAAAAAAAAGTCGCTGTTGTCGAAAAATTAGTCGCAGTATAGTCGAAAAATTAACCGCGATTGGCGCGACCATGACTAATTTTTCGACTAAAGCGCGACTATTTTTTCGACCACCCTGTGACTAAGTTTCCATTGTGCCGCGACTTATTTTTCCACCGTCGCGACTAAATTTTTGACCGCCGCGACTAACTTTTCGAGCGCCACGACTAATTTTTTGACCGCCGCAAATAATTTTCCGACCGCTGCTTCTAATTTTCAACTGCTGCTACTAATTTTTTGACCGCCGCAACTAATTTTCCGACCGCTGCTTCTAATTTTCAACTGCTGCGACTAATTTTTCGACTAAAGCGCGACTATTTTTTCGACCATCCTGTGACTAAGTTTCCATTGTGCCGCGACTTATTTTTCGACCGTCGCGACTAAATTTTTGACCACCGCGACTAATTTTTCGAGCGCCACGACTAATTTTTTGACCGCCGCAACTAATTTTCCGACCGCTGCTTCTAATTTTCAACTGCTGCGACTAATTTTTCGACTAAAGCGCGACTATTTTTTCGACCATCCTGTGACTAAGTTTCCATTGTGCCGCGACTTATTTTTCGACCGTCGCGACTAAATTTTTGACCGCCACGACTAATTTTTTGACCGCCGCAACTAATTTTCCGACCGCTGCTTCTAATTTTCAACTGCTGCGACTAATTTTTTGACCGCCGCAACTAATTTTCCGACCGCTGCTTCTAATTTTCAACTGCTGCGACTAATTTTTCGACTAAAGCGCGACTATTTTTTCGACCATCCTGTGACTAAGTTTCCATTGTGGCGCGACTTATTTTTCGACCGTCGCGACTAAATTTTTGACCGCCGCGACTAATTTTTCGAGCGCCACGACTAATTTTTTGACCGCCGCAACTAATTTTCCGACCGCTGCTTCTAATTTTCAACTGCTGCGACTAATTTTTTGACCGCCGCAAATAATTTTCCGACCGCTGCTTCTAATTTTCAACTGCTGCGACTAATTTTTCGACTAAAGCGCGACTATTTTTTCGACCATCCTGTGACTAAGTTTCCATTGTGCCGCGACTTATTTTTCGACCGTCGCGACTAAATTTTTGACCGCCGCGACTAATTTTTCGAGCGCCACGACTAATTTTTTGACCGCCGCAACTAATTTTCCGACCGCTGCATCTAATTTTCAACTGCTGCGACTAATTTTTTGACTAAAGCGCGACTATTTTTTCGACCATCCTGTGACTAAGTTTCCATTGTGCCGCGACTTATTTTTCGACCGTCGCGACTAAATTTTTGACCGCCGCGACTAATTTTTCGAGCGCCACGACTAATTTTTTGACCGCCGCAACTAATTTTCCGACCGCTGCTTCTAATTTTCAACTGCTGCGACTAATTTTTTGACCGCCGCAACTAATTTTCCGACCGCTGCTTCTAATTTTCAACTGCTGCGACTAATTTTTCGACTAAAGCGCGACTATTTTTTCGACCATCCTGTGACTAAGTTTCCATTCTGCCGCGACTTATTTTTCGACCGTCGCGACTAAATTTTTGACCGCCGCGACTAATTTTTCGAGCGCCACGACTAATTTTTTGACCGCCGCAACTAATTTTCCGACCACTGCTTCTAATTTTCAACTGCTGCGACTAATTTCTCGACTAAAGCGCGACTATTTTTTCGACCATCCTGTTACTAAGTTTCCATTGTGCCGCGACTTATTTTTCGACCGTCGCGACTAAATTTTTGACCGCCGCGACTAATTTTTCGAGCGCCACGACTAAATTTTTGACCGCCGCAACTATTTTTCCGACCGCTGCTTCTAATTTTCAACTGCTGCGACTAATTTTTCGACTAAAGCGCGACTATTTTTTCGACCATCCTGTGACTAAGTTTCCATTGTGCCGCGACTTATTTTTCGACCGTCGCGACTAAATTTTTGACCGCCGCGACTAATTTTTCGAGCGCCACGACTAATTTTTTGACCGCCGCAACTAATTTTCCGACCGCTGCTTCTAATTTTCAACTGCTGCGACTAATTTTTTGACCGCCGCAACTAATTTTCCGACCGCTGCTTCTAATTTTCAACTGCTGCGACTAATTTTTTGACCTCAGCGACTAAATTTTTTACCGTTGCGACTAACTTTTTGTTCGCCGCGACTTATTTTTTGACCATCGCGACCGAGATTCTTTATCCAGACTATGGATTTTTTGGTAGCGGAATTAGCGTTTACGCGACCGACAAATTCAAAAAATTAGTCGCAGACCACAACCAGGAGTCTTATTCCCGCGGTAAATTGATCATTTGGGCGTTTTTCCGCAGTTTTTTTTCTTATTTCTCTTTTTCACTTCCTCAAATGTAGGAGAAAATAGTTTTAAAAGTATTAGTCATCAAAGACCACGTGATAGACAAAAAAAACACAACCTTTCCACTAAACAGACTCGGGTTTTCGATTTTTATTGCTTATGTCACTATTCGAGGGAATTGAGCGATAGCTGAAAATAGGCTCTAAAGTTCCGCGATTTTCTTGTTCAGCTACACTCCAACTTACAGAGGATTCAAATCTTTCTATGGCTACTACTACGGAAGCAACGACTACTATGACCACCAGAGATACGTCACATGTAAGCACAAAGCAGAAGTCTTTTTACTTAATCAGCCCAAAGTAGCAAAAATTTTTTGATTCTGCCCAAAATTTTTTTTATTTATTCAGGCCAATCTTTTAAAAAACTAATTCAGCCCCGAAGTACGGAGCTTGAGAAAAAAGAAGAAAAACGCGTGAATGTGTCTGGCTGAAACCCAATATGGTTGTGCGCTAATCTCCACAAAACAAAGTTAAAATCAATATTTTATTCGTATTTCTCGGTAAATACTCGTGTTTGGTCATAAATCGGAATATATCCACAATTTTTGTATAAACGGACATAATCAGTCATAAACGACTATAACTCAAACTTTTTACTTACATCATCGTATATCGGACGCAACGCCAGCTTGACTTTTCGAAAACTGCTTGACTTTTGAAGCAATTAAAAACCAGCTTGACTTTTGCAGAAACTGCAAAAGTGCAAAAAAAAACTGCTCTTTTGTAGGTCGTAGTTTTAAATTTGAACGATTTATGTCTCACGCATTAGTTACGTTTTGCGCTGCAACATCCTCCGCCCCTAAAGACGGAAGAACAGGTGCGAGTTTTACGGTCGGTCGCATCAGCTCGCTCGTAACAGTTTTGATATCGGTGGATCGGGCGCATCCGTCTTTGCCGTAGTGTAGTTTAGCAATACGGGCGAGTGGGTAATGCCCACGTGGGCTGTCGGGTTCGACTACCCAAACCAAGTCGCCGGTTTTCAGTGTGACATCCGAATCATTATGCCACTTTGCTCTCTTGTTGAGAGATGGTACATATTCACGCAGCCAGCGTGACCAAACTGCGTTAGCGTACGATTGTGCTCTGGCGTAACGCTTTTTATAATCAAAGTTATCTTCGAAACTTAACGACGGGAAGCTAGCTGTTTCGATGTTCCCAAGTAACCAGCGCAACTTCAGAACAATGTATTTCAACTGAACTACAGCACGCATGTAATCCAACCCCTGATGTGCATGTTGAAAGTGCATATGCCTAATCAACATATGAGCAACTCGGTGTCGACCATCCAGTATTATTGGATGTTTGCTATCAAAGTCGGTATCAACAAGACGGCTGATACGTCCAGTTGAACGCAGGATGCCAGCTGGGCCGATGAACGGAGAATATTTAGCAATCCGACTTTTCTTTGTTATCAGTTTATCGGACTGAAGTATTTTCACTTCGGCAGGAAATGATTCGGACTGAGCGAGATAAATGAGCTTCTGCTCGGCAATATCTAACTCGGACGGGTCGGTTATTTCAAGCGTTTTTGTACGGAAGTGTTTATGCGATGGTAGCACACGAAGCATAAACGCTAAAACACGTTTGTACTTTACAATTGAGCTGAATTTATCCCAATTTTTAAACAGACGGATCGACGGCGCTTTCTCAGATGAAGCATCAACAACAAACGTGGATGCAGTCTCAAGGCATGTATCAATGTCACAGAGTGGGCCTTTTAATTGGATCTTTTTGATGACATCAGTGTTCAGCTTGAATGGCCAATCACATGTCCTCAATATACTAGGGCCTCTAACCCAGCTGCTATCCTTGAGGGCTTCCGAAGAAATCCCTCGTGTGCCGGTATCAGCTGGGTTATCACCACTGAGTACATGATTCCATTGATCAATGGTGGTGGACTCCAAGATTTCACCAGTGCGGTTTCCAACAAACACAGGAAGTTTGTTGCACGAGTTAAGCCACTGGAGAACGGTGGTAGAATCAGTCCACATGAATACATTGCTTACTTTGAAAGTAAGCGCTTTCAAAATCTCTTCTTTGAGTCGAGTCGCAAGCAGAGCAGCCTGAGGCTCTAACTTGGGATTGGAGAGCATCTTCATAGGCGCTACACGGGCTTTCCCAAATACAAAAGCTAACTCGGTCTTTTGCGATTTAGCAAGTCGCGCTCGGAGAAACGATACGGCGCAAAAAACGTCCTGCGAACTATCACCGAACGTGTGAAGTTCACAGCGGTCGAACGGTTCGGTAAAGTAGCTACGAGGTATCGTCAGAGTACCTAATAGTGGAAGTCTTGAGTGCCAATCTAGAAATTGTTGTTTAATTTCCTCTGGGAGATCATCATCCCACTTTTGACCACTGATTCTCCATATGTCTTTTAGTAAAAGGCGCGCTTTCACAGTATATGGAGCTACCAGTCCTATTGGATCAAAAACTGAGGAAACAAAACTCAACACGGTGCGTTGAGTAATTGCTTTATCTAGTGGTCGATCAACACCTCTACTTACTACTAGGGTATCTTTAACATGATCCCACCTGAGACCAAGAACATGCGACGATTGGTCTGGACTCTTACAAATATCCTTAACTGACGGGTTGGACTCACGGTTGTCCGGATTAAGAGCGGTTGTAACTTCGGGTACATTGCTAACAAACTTTGTCAGGTTAAACCCACCTAATTTGAGCATTGCGACTAAGTCTTTACTTAGGCTAAGAGCGTCAGCGGTGTTTTCGAACGAGTCAAGATAGTCGTCCATGTAAAACTTCTGGACAACGGCTGAAGCGGCTTCGGGGTATTCAGCTTGATTATCAGAAGCAGTTTTTTGTAGCGCGAAATTCGCACAAGTTGGCGAATCACGAGCGCCAAAAATATGACGGGTCTATTGGTGAACCACCACACTTGAAGTGGGGTCCTCCCGCCACAAAAAACGGAGAGACGGTTGATCTCGCGCAAGTACTCCAACTTGTAAGAACATACCTTCTATGTCCGCTGAGACGGCGTACTTGTGTTGACGGAACCTCAACAGTGCAAAAATAAGATTTTGAAGGAGATCCGGGCCAACCAAGAGAGATCTATTTAAGGAAGTGCCATGAAATTTGGATGTTCCATTGAGCACACGGCGCACCTTGCCGGGTTTGTTCGGGTTCAAAACCGGATGGTGTGGAAGATACCACTCACGTTCGGCTCGTGAGCTGGGATCGTGCGGGTTGACGGTTATGACATATCCTTTACTTATATCTTCTCTGATTGTTTCGGTATACTTCTCGCGAAGTAACGGATCTTTATCTAATCTTTTCTCTAACGACTTTAATTGGGCTAATGAAGAATAATAATTGTTAGGCAAGCTAACATCATTATCACTCCACAGCATCGGTACAGTGTAACGCTCACCATCGTGAACGGTTTCAGTTTTTAGAATCGACAAAGCACGCTTGTCTGCGGCGGAACGGGCATCTACTTGCTTGAACGCACCATACGACTCTAACTCATACCAAGTTTTGATTTGGTCGGTCAGAGAAGTATCGTCCGTAACGCAGTTAAAGGAAGAAGAATTTAAGGACGAACGATCAGGAGACGGACCACTAATGACCCAACCTATCGGAAGTCGGACGGCGCACGGTGAGTCAAGTTCATCTCCGAAGACATGTTCGAGGGGTCTTATCGCATGATAGAAGTCCTGTCCTATAACTATCTCAATCTCTTTGTAATTATACGCAGTCGTCTTTAACGGGGCTAGTTGCGGGTATTTGACCTGCAATTCGGAAACGTTTATAACATCGGGTCCTATATACATGTTGTGCTTAACGAAAGCGACAAACGAAAACGAAAATTCACTTTCATTGGGCTTTGCGGAAACTTTCAAGTGAACTCGTTGAGTTTTAGATACCTTGGCTGAGTTAAAACCATCGGTCGTAACATTTACGGGCGTGCCAACTAATTTCAGACGTTCAACGAGTGCCGCGGAAACCCAAGAATGAGTGGAACCGGTGTCACAAAGTGCTAGTGCATTCGAATTTTCCGAACCAGAGGACACATCTACCAACGCAACGGGAAGAATACCTTTTGCAGTTCCCTCACAAGGTTTAACACAAGCTGCGTTGTTTGCAGAAGTAGTGTTTGTATTAGTTTGAGTCGATGGTGATCGATCGGCCTCTTTGGGCGGGAAAACTTTCTGGGCTCCATGAAGAAGCACATTGTGAGTGCTCTCACAGTCCTGTTTTGGGCATTTTCTTGCCTTCTGGCACTTTCGGAAGGTATGGTTGCCTTGTAAACAAGAAAAACAGAGCTTTTGTTCTGCTACATATTTAGCCCTTTGTGTTGCGTTTTTCTCTTTGAACACGGAACAGTTCCAGAGTGCATGCTGCCCTTTGCATAGCGAGCATGGAGGAAACCTTGTCTTTTCTCTACTTTTCTCATCCTTAGAACTTACCTTAGTGTTACCTGCAAGCACTTTTGTAACTACTTTTTGTTTAACTGGCTGCTCGACTTTGACTAAAGATTTCAATCGCTCATGGCCTTCTGCCTTATTCTTAAGCCAATCGTTGAAGTCTAGCAATGTTAATCGCTGCCAATGTTGTCTAACAGTATGCATGGACCATGCCTCTTTTAGATTTGGAGGAAGCTTACTGACGGCTTGATTTACTTGAACGACAAAGACCTAAAAACAGCTACGAGCCCAGTCACACTTGAACGACAAAGACCTAAAAACAGCTACGAGCCCAGAAATCACCGCAGAAAAACTTATAACATGCTCAGAGTTGTGCATCTTCAATGCGGGAAAATTCTTCAACTTATCCAAATGTGCACCAACTACAACATGAGGCTGCCCAAACTTTCTCTGGAGAGTTGCTAGAGCATCATTATACAACACTCCACTGTAGCCGTATTCCGCAATTGCACTCTTGGCTTTGTCTTTAACGTGCGTTTTCAGATATTTGAGTTTTTCATCATCAGTTAGCATAGCCGAATCAACTGTTGCTTGGAACTGCCCGAATCATTCATACCAGTTAAGTGGTTCTCCATCAAACACTTCCAAGTTCAACTCCGGTAGACGGTCTTTGCGGCTATGCAGAATGATATCTGCTAACTCTCTCGCCGAGATGGGTTGTTCGCTATTAGGCACGTAAGACGGGCCCGTAGTGGGCGCAGGATATGTAGGTGGATAACCTTGATGCGCTGTTTCAACAACTGGATGAGTTTGCGGCTGGGTGTAATACACAGTCCCAGAACTTGTATAAGGAACTACGGTGTTTGGTGGAACAACAGGAGTTGTCACTGAGAAAACGTTTGAGGGCGGTGCGCAGTTTTGAGGAACTGGCATCGTTTGCGCAGTCGCGGCAGGTCTCCACAAACTGCTATACGGGTTATAGTGTTCACTTGAGAAACTTGTTGGGTTGTTTGGAACATTTATAGGTTGATGGGATGGCGCTGCAGGTGCCTGATACCCAGTTGAAACGGGGCCGGAATGTGGCTGACTGACCGGAAGCAAAGAGGGAATAGGAACGGTTGACGGGACAAATGGTTGAATAATCGGAAGCGAAATGGGAATCGGAACGGTTAATGGAGGAACAAAAGGTTGACTCGCCGGAAGCGAAACTGGATTAGTAACGGTCGACCCAGAAGGCGGTGCCACATTAATGGTGGGATTACCAAAGGGCATTGAAGCGGGAATGCTACCACTTGCTTGTGGTATCAGATTGTGATTTTGCGAAACTTCAGCATGAGGTGTTGAAGCTAAGTGTGGAGTAACAAAGTTTGAGCTGGAGGCAACGAATTGTGGTAAACTAGATGGGTTCTCGATTGAGTGCAATGACAGACGCGATTGGACCAAACTTGATCTCTGAGCCTGAATTCGATTCCTATTGTGGCTTCCCGGTTCACTGTATGTGGTTTGACCAGCGTTGACGACGGCACCCCCGCTGACGACGGCACCAACCCCTTGCAAAACATCAGTAGCAATCAAAGTGGAACTCTCGACTACTGGATGACTTTGCTCTGAGCTTGCAACAACTTCGGCTTGCTCTTGCTCAGTGACAACGTTTTCTACCCATTGTTCAGTACGTTGTGGGTCAACATGTGTTACGCTAGCATTTCCTATCTTCTCACTTGCTTCAGAAAGCTCTTCTTCCAACTCGAATTCCTTTAACTCAATTTCAGCCAGTTTCTTGCGGTGTACCTCAGCTAATTCTTCCAACTCTAAACTTCCTTGCTGTTCTTTTATTTTATTTTGCTGCGCTTTCAACTTCAATGACACCTTTGCTTGTCTCTCAAGTTCCTCTTGCTGCTTCTTCACAACCAACAAATCTCGCCTCTTCTCAGTTGATGTTTTTGACTGCGCGACGGTATAGCGACTGGATTTATGCGAACCTGATTTATGATGTCGACTACTGTACCGCGACACCTTAGAGCGCGCATCTGCTTCATGTGAATCTTGTGGTTGTGTTGTTACGATCGTACTTAACGATTCTGCAACATTGTCAAGCTCTGTTTCCTCAGGTTCAACGTTTAAGCCAGCTTTATATGATGCAGCCTTCTGTAAAACTGTATCGTTTCTTGATGTAACCTTATGAAGCCACATATCCTGCGCTGGTATCAATTTATCAGGATCAACACTTTTAGAAGCTAACTTAATCAATTCCTCATTTATTTCAACTGCAGTCTCTATCAGGCTCTTGCAATTCTGAATCTGAGTGTCAATCTTTGATGAGCGACTCTGACTTTCAATGTTCTCAATTATAATTTCATGGCACTTGTACAGTTCATTTTCAAGCTTGGTTAGCTTCGCAAATAACCTTTGAACCCTCTTCTGAAAGTTCTCATCCATGGCTCTAGGGTCTATAATTAACTCAAACTATACTTAACGGTTATCGGGCGTTTGCGGGGCGATTCGGAACGGTTTTCGGTGAGTAAAGTTACCAATGGGGCTGGGGATTAAGTAAGTCGGTTGATATCAAACAACACACACGGAGTAAACCTGAGGATGAATAAAATCAACTTAACTTACTTAATATCACCTCCCTGACCACTTAGGATGATGTTACGGCGTACGAAATTTGTTGAACGGTCGTACGACGGTGCGTCACTACTAATCGGCTAGTAGCTCGACGAATTACCAAGAGGTTTGGGAATTAAGCAAGTCGGTTGAAAACCAACAACACACGCGGAGCAAACCTGAGGATGAAAGACAACAACTTAACTTGCTTAATTTTACCGTCCCGGACCACTTAGTCAGTCGTTGCGAAACGAATGTTTTGAAAAGCGAACGAGTGCAAACAGGTATAAAGTCGTTGTAAACCTTAAGTTTACCAATGGGGTTGGAGAATCAGGCAAATCGGTTAACTCTCAACAACACACGCGGAGTGAACCTGAGGATGAAAAAAAATTAACTTAACTTGCCTGATATTAACTACCCAGACAACTAAACATACTTTAACTATACGGTTCAACGGAGTTTTGTATAGTTTGGTTAGTGGATTTGAGTCATAACTGGTATCAAAAAACTAGTCTAGTAACCGTTATTCTATGTTCCGATATTATAAATTTTCAATTCATCAAAAAAATAGTCAACATTTTGGCTATCGAGCAAAAAATCTAGTTCCGGTTATCTAGTACCCGATTTAGAGCAATTTTTCTAATTTCAAATTAATCAAACTGGCCAAAAATTTTCGGGTATCGAGAAAAATTAGGGGTGAGTACTGGCGTTGTGTCTCACATTTATAATATAAAACATCGTATCCGTAATTTATCAAAATTAAAAGTTTAGGTTCGGTCTTACAGTTTTTGTGAAGATAGGGCGCACCGATGAGATCGTCGGTCACAAACAGCCTCACTGAATAGCCCAAACCGTCTTGTTGCAAGTCAGAAACTCTGTCAGTGACTTATCGTCTGGATGGGTTACCCTGTCAGTGCTATTGAACTCCCAGACACATCCATTATGAATTTTTCAGTATAACCGTTTTTGTAATAATAACTCGGATTATTATAAGGGAATTAACTAATATCTGTCCCTTGTGGGGCGCCAAAATGTGCGCTTATCTCCACAAAACAAAGTTAAAATCAATATTTTATTCGTATTTCTCGGTAAATACTCGTGTTTGGTCATAAATCGGAATATATCCACAATTTTTGTATAAACGGACATAATCAGTCATAAACGACTATAACTCAAACTTTTTACTTACATCATCGTATATCGGACGCAACGCCAGCTTGACTTTTTCCGAAAACTGCTTGACTTTTGAAGCAATTAAAAACCAGCTTGACTTTTGCAGAAACTGCAAAAGTGCAAAAAAAAAACTGCTCTTTTGTAGGTCGTAGTTTTAAATTTGAACGATTTATGTCTCACGCATTAGTTACGTTTTGCGCTGCAACAATGGTGACAACTGAGCATAGTGTGAAAAACGCGTTCACAATAACAACTGCAATTTCGGGCAGATTAATTAAAAAGATCCCAAAACTGCTGCAAAAACTGCATATTTTTAATTGAACTATTTCAGTCCATTAAAATTTTTGCATGTAGTTCCTTCCCCTAAAAAAGTCCATTAAAAGTCGCAAGTGTCACTCCTTCATTCTAAACTTATTACTATATTTGCTCTTTTTTTCCCAGTTTATCAATCAGAATCAGAAATATATGAAAATTTATACTTTTTTCGTTATTTTATGTAAACTGTCCTTGTAACAGAAGTCTTTATGGTTTTATTTAACCTTTGTTGGCTTCAGTGGACGATGGCTCCGACCGACAGTGGTGGGGACTAGATTGGCACCTGGATTTCGAGGGGGGCAATCTGAGCAACGTGAACAGTGACTTCGGAATGTACAGCACACATGCAGTCACTCAAAGAGTCACTTCAGGATAGTTTGACAATCTAATCTACCTTTGAACACACTTTATATATTATTCCATTTCCTCTAGTGCTTTTGATTATTTCAAATAAGTTTAGAATGAATTTTAGTGGGAGTGCAGAAAAAACGCGATTTTTGGAGCAGCAAAAAGTGTGCCAGTGATTGTATCTAGTTTTCTCTTTGCTTCTCATAGAATATGATTGCTTGTCAAAAAAAAAATTGGCAGATAAATTTTTTAGCTTCAGGAGCGCTCGGAAAGGCGAAGTTTTTGATTTTTAAAAAAGTTGGTGTCGGTAGTAATTCACGTAAAGCAATTGACGTAAAATTCTCGGCGAGTTTTTTAATGTTTTTTTTGTCTGCCTGAACTTGTAAGGAGGCTTCGTCTTACTAACTATTTTAAATAATTTAAGGGAGTTAGATAGATTGTCGTTAATTGTCATCTCTTTGCAGAGCTGATTGGGAAACACGATTTCAGCTCACAGCCCCTCTTTCTCTACGTGGCATTTCAGAATAGCCACTCTGCTTCTTCCCAGGATCCTCTTCAAGTCCCAAGGACATCCGAAGATCTCTTTCCGGTAAACATCAGAGTAGCCGGTTGTCTGGAGAAAAAGTTGGAAAAAAATTGTAGAATAAAATTTATCATCGCTCAAAGGAAGAATATGCTATATTCGCCACGTATTTGAAGTCTGAAGCAAAATTTTCACAACAGTTGTTGTTTTAAGACGGCGATTTTTTGGAAGTATGTTTGGAAACCGAATAACGACTCAGAGAGTTTTTATATGAAAATATGATACCACACTGTTTCGGCGATTTTTTGGAAGTATGTTTGGAAACCGAATAACGACTCAGAGAGTTTTTATATGAAAATATGATACCACACTGTTTATACTTTCGACTTCAAGAGTAGGCAGAACAATAAAAAGTTAGTCACAAAAGTTTATAATTACATATCATCATATCTAATACAAAATTTATGGAAGAGAGGAAGGGGCTGAGCTTCCGCATCTGACATTTTGATCATAAAATTGTTAACTTTTGAGTTTATTGAGGTTTTCGTTTTCTTTGATTCACAGATTTGACCTCTTTTTTGACCTCAACTTTTTTAGCACATATGGCACAAACAGAGACGCAAGCAAGCCGCAATGTCTTACGAATTAGATTTGGCAGTGCAACAAATTTATCAGTCTTTGCAGTCGAGAGGTGTTTTGAGCAACACAATCATCGTGTTCAGCTCCGACAACGGGGGGCCGACAGCTGGGTCGGGGGGAAGCTTCGCCGACAACTTCCCTCTGAGGGGGAGCAAGTCGTACTATTTCGAGGGAGGGGTGAGAGTGGCTGGGTTTGTGTGGGGGAGTATGTTCAAGAAGAGATCTGGACAGGTATCGATGGATCTGATGCACTTGACTGATTGGTTAGTCTTCTGGATACTTTGTGTTCGAATAAATTGGTAGAAGTTTGAAATCAGACGCAGGAACAAATTACAATTTAGTAATGAAGTCACTGCGTCAATGAAACTACACAGGCAGATTTGCTTATCTAGTAGCACCTCTTGCCGATTCAATTGAATGGCAAATTCAGGTAATTCGTGTGATATATTTATTTTAAATTTGGGTTCTTTTACATCCCCCATTACCACCAGATATAAGCATCATTTTTACGAAGTAACCATTATTTTAATTAGGTTGCATTTGGACACAAAATGTAATTGAGTAATAATCTCATACCATTTTTCAACACATTTGGACAGCGTGATGACAATTTTGAAAGGCAAAAACTGCAAATGAAAAGTGAAAAAGTGGGCGACAGAAGAGTCAAAATTTGAATTTAATTAAGTGTCCGATGCCCAGCGATATAACTTTTTGATAATTTTTCTTTGAAAAAAGAATTTTACCAATTCATTGCGACATCGAACAAGTTCTGTTATAAACGAGGGGAAAAGTCGGTCGGATTATGTGCATCTGTTGTATCTCAGAAGACTCATATAAAACTAACACCAAGACTTAATTCATCTTGTAGATATAGATATGTAATTAAGTAAAGTATATAAATAGTGTCATGACAAAACAATTTATATCGACCTAAGTCTTACAGAAGTTGACAAGAGAATGAATAGAACGTTAAACACCAACTTAACCGCGGTGTGACTGGTCGAATAAGACCTTGAACTCAAATTGAAACAAATGACTGAAAAGAGTATGACATAATAGTATGCACAGAATTAAAACTGTACTACATCTCACCCTCTAGAAAAAATTCTAATGGAAAATATGAATTTTATTGAAAGAGATACACAAATTAGGAATTCGACTGAACAAGAAAATTTTTTTTTGCGAATGAGTAAAGTGCATAAAGAGTTTTTAGCTGAAATTGAGATGATACGAGTTTTAATGAATAAATGATGCGAGGTTAGTTCTCGTTTCTCCTCAACGTATTTTCTGCTTTGAGGATGACTGTGACAAATATGATTGAGGAAATCGAGTGAACTTCCCTGTGCAGCCTCCCTAATCATGGGAAGAACTGGCCCGGAGGAGGTCATCTTGAGTTTTCCAGACCGGCCGGCCTGTCCTGAACGAAACGAACCCGTTTATCCGGAGAGACGACTTCCGGACTCGAGACCTGAGGCTGTACGGGAGGGGAGCTGATCGAAATGACTGCATGCCGAACCGGGCTGCCAAAAAATGATGTCTGCGTTTTCCGACGCGAAGAAGTACGAAAGGAAATTGAGGCAGGCGAGAGAATCGCGTCCCCATCTGAGCCACCATTGGGTGGGACGATCTTTGGTGGACATTGTGCAGAGGTTTTCTGCCCTGTTGAGCGCTCTTGAGGCTTTGATAAGGACGAGTCGTCATCTGAAGAGATCGGGATGAGATCTGGACATGACATGAAAGGAGTCTTCGAAGATGAGGGTGCCTGGGACTTGATGACCGATGTGTCCTGTGGAACGTTCCCCGGAGTAGAGGAGGATGACACTTTCTTTAGAAAGATTTTTAAAATTTGTCAGCCTGAACGGAGTTGACGCGGACATGAGAGCGAGAGGTTTGAGTCGAAAAGGAACTAGAACTGTCATAGCGGCTATGCGGATACGAGTAGAGGGTGGACTGAGAGGTCTGTTGTCCTCCGGAGAAGTGTACGAAGAAGATGACACTGCTGGTCGTTTCTGCCCCTTCTTGCCTGACGTTGCCTTTTTGCCTGAAAAATCTACTTGAGATGACTTAAGACGCACCTCCAGATGGTTTCTTCTTACGACCTTATCTTTATCAATGCTAAACGTGGACCCAGTAACTATGACAGTTTGACCTGTAAATGACTTCAATTATTCCCGACCAGATTTCCTAAAATTAATTTTGCGGACTATTTCGACCTTTTCCGGATTATTGATAACTAGAAAATCCAAGTTACCCTCAGCATGTGATGTGAGGACCTGGTTGCGCTCCGTCAGCGTCTTAAGGGTTTTGATGACTTCGTCATGAGGTAAAGTTTTCTTTAAGGCCAGCTAATGATTAGACGATTTGGCCCGACTCTCGAGAGCCTTATAATGCGGTGTCTCAGCAACAGAAGAAGATTGACCACCGAAATATGGCTATACCGACGGACTTGATTGCCCCTTCTTAACTACTTTATTTCTTGGTCGGCTATCACACTGCTCTCCACGCTGCTGCGCCGTAAATAGTTTCCAGCCCAACTGCTGTTCATCTACATTAACACGCGAGGATAGACGCGCAGCTACAATAGTTAAATCGGTATTTGGCGAACGACCAAATTGTAACTCAAACGGCGAAGAACCGGTCTCCGAGTTTTTGGTCACACGAATATCCTCAATGATTTGCTGAAGAGTATCCTTGATGTTGGAAAAATTCGGACTTAATTCAACTGCTCCCAACCGAAGCTTTATAGTCTGAGTAGAGCGTTCCACCAAACCAGAAACCCGATGATCCCGCACCGGACAAAATTGCTGACAAATATTTCTTTCGTTGCAAAAATACTAAACCAACGTATTTTTAAAACCCGAACAATGATCTGTTTTGGTAGATTTAGGCACACTATGTTGCGAGATATACAATTTCAAGAATTTAATAATCTTTTCCCCAGTGGAGCAAGTGATCATAGCTAATGGATACTTGGAGTATCGGTCGATAGCAACCAAGATCTATGTTTGGTTAAATGAATGATCTGGAAGAGGACCAGTATAATCTAACTGGAGTTCCTCACTCGGATCTAAAAATTGTGGTAAAGGCTGGGATGAGTTAAATGATATTTAAGCCTTGAGGTACATATCAAATTTAATAAAGTGCGGGCAATCTTTACTCAATTGGATAATGTCCCGATGCATTCGAGGCCACCAAACGTATTGACCCGCATCCAGCATTGCAAGTTGTCAAGCATGCGACCTATGAATTCGTGCAAGAATCGCTTTCTGCAAATCATTCGGAATAGCAATACGGTTGTCCACCACAATACAAGCATCCACCACTGCCTAGCACTTCCAGAACGATTTGAGATACGCGTCGACCCGAATCCTTCGTAGTCATTGTTAATCAGGGCCAGTTTCATCAAACGAAAGCTAAGATCCTTGTCTGGCAGCTCTGACAAAACGTCCGCATCAAGGATCCCCACTAGACCCGACAGCGACTTCTGGTCTGGAGCGACAACTGATGACTTGAGGTACTTGCTCTTGCGGTCGACTTGCTGGACAAGACTTTCGCAACCTACGCGAACAAAAATCAGCAAGGATGCGGACATATTGACCCTTCAGCGCCACTGCTCTTTCCGCCGACGTTTTCTGTTTCGGGCGGGCTACGCCTGAACATGCCCTTTGCCTCAATCTGTTCGCTAAAAACCAAAGTCGGTTAAGGGGTACAAATTAGTTAAGCAGCCGTTCAAAGCTGCCGTCAAGCGATGGGTTCTTTAGACTCTGAAAAAAAAGACATGAGAAAAATGAGCACCGTTCCCCAATAGACCAGACCAGAACCTATTTTGTTACCAGAACCAGTAACAAAATAGGCAGAAAAGACATAGTTAAAAAACTTCAGCAAAATGAAAGCTGCGGTCAGTACAAAGTTGATATTCCAAAAAAGCATGTGATTTGGGAAACTTGCTGAGAAAACGGCCTTTGTGAATAAATTAAGTAAGCTGAACTGCGATTGGTCAATAGGATGTATATAAATTAAGTCGCCCTCTTCCGATGAGCCAAAGCAAGTATAGCTGTGCTCTGATTGGTCAGAATTGTTGTCACTCGAATAGCCGCCCTCTAGTGGCGACTGAATTTGTGAACTACTGCAATTAATGAGTGAACGAATGACAAGTAAATTGCCGCCCTCCAGCGGTCGACTACCCCAAGCAGAACCGAGATCTAATTGTCGCATCTTACAGCATTGGGTGACACGTCCCGACCAGAGCATTGATTGAACAAAGAGATTGAGCTAACCGGAGTGATTGAATTCTGAATATGGTTCTTTTAAGGGTTAGACATCACCCCTGAACTCCTGAAATATACACCGATTCGGTTGTAGCTGGAAACCCAAGAACCCAGCGGTCAAGGAAATCACACGCATCAAAAAAGCGGCTAATGCTTTTAACCATATTTTGCTTGTCGACACTGTTGGGTAAAGGTGCTGCGAATGTTAGAAAACGAGATAAATTGTAGACTATACCCAATTTGCTTCCAGAGATTAATTGGGAATGAACGCGCTAATTGGGATTGATGGGTCTTGTTAACCCTTTTGGTCTTTAAGGCCAATACTATCGCTTTATTGTCTGGTAAAATTTCTAAATGACTACCCGAAACGATGATTTCGGAAATGTTCACAGGACCATACGATGGCAAGTAACTCTAGTTCATTCGTGCTTTGTTTTTTCACGAACCAGGAAGCAATGGCTATCGGCGCCCATTTATCTTCTTCAATTTCTTGTTCGAGAGCCGCTCTCAAACCGCTTTGACTGGCATCGCATTTAATCCTGGTTTTACGATTCTGATCTTAATGGTACGTTTTTGAACTATTATTGAAAAGTTTGAGAATGATGGATAACGCATATTGCTGATATTCCCTCTAAACGAACTTGTTCGTATTACTCGCCTTTAACGACGGACGGATTTAAAAAGAAACCTTTGCAAGTGGTTAAGGATACCCATGAATGATTTGAGTTATCTTAACGTTCGTGGAGGTTCGAGAGCCAAAACAGCATAGATTTTAGAACGTTTTCGGCGATATCCTACAAAATATATTTCAAATCCTAAGTATGACAGTTGAGTTAGCGAAAACTCGCACTTGGATAGTTTTAGGGCAAACTCTTCCTCTTATAGCCTAATTAACACCTTCTTCACTAGACAGTTAAGCTCGACAACTTAACTCTTAGAGACAATAGGATTGTCGTCCAAAAAACCGAAAACTTCTGACAAACCCTGCAGAGTATTATCCATTGCCTTTTGGAATTCTTTGGGCATGTCAGTAAGTTGATTGAAGCCCGTCTTGAAACTATAAGTGCCCGTATGTTCTCCACACACAATATTGAAGTTACAGTGACTACTAACTGCGTCACTCAATGGAATTTGGCTAAACGCTTATTTCTGGTCCAACAACGTGAACCAAACTTCGCCACTTTTAATTCGACATAATGAGCTGGGCAGCTGAGTCCCACAACTTCAATGAATTTGGCATCTGGTACTGGTTGTTATGAATTTGGTCATTCGTGGGCTTTGCATCCATTGCCAATTTAATTGTCTCATGTTTCTTCTCAGTTATGACAATCGGTGGGATGAAATATTCGCTAGTAGACTCATTGAGTTTACAATATGTCCCTCCTGAATATGTTTAAGAATTTATTCTTCTACCTGCTCCTGAATATGAACCGGAACCAGGCAGCCTTTTTATTGAATTAGAATAAGAAGCAATTTAAACGTGGAAAAACTTGACGGTTCTTTGCTCTGCCTAGACTTGAGAAAACAACTCCAAACTTCCTTTTATTGTGCGATCTCCAGAATTTTGATATTTCACTTGGTTTCTGTTAGGAGATTATGCTACCAGTGGGCTAGGCGGCCTCCCTTGTGTCGTAAGCCAAGCGGACATCGTGTACGGTTCTCCGAAACAAGGAAATTGGCTAACTTTACTTTCCAACATAAAGCGTGCCGAAAAGTTCTATTCGTTTTTGATCATAAACGACTGACATCATATCAATCGGGCATTCCTTCTCAATTAGTACAACAGTTGAAGTCACTGATTTGACGAAAAAATCCGCTGTTAAATTGTTCACAAAGGAAGCTGGACTGCACGTATCAGCTGTTCTTTAAAGAAAGTTTGGTTGCATCTGCGAGTGATTTGTATACAGCGTATTTTACCGGTAGCCGCATTTACTAGTTCCAACTTCTTCACTGAATCTGTGATAGAAGGAACTTGACTTTTAGGATGGGGAACCCCTTCGACAGCAAGCACCGCAAATTCCGACTCACTATCGGAAGTAATGAAGTTACAACCTTCCTCCGTTGTTTCATTTGATCAGCATCCAAATAAGCATTGCTTTTAGAATTGCAATTTTTTGCAAAATGTCCCTTTTTACTGCAATTCTTACATGTTACATTCCTCGCTGGACAACTTGTTTTATGATTTGCTGTGAATTTATTGACCCTTTATTGCCGAGTTTCCCAGTTACTTTTCTAAACTGCTGGCTGTCTGTGCAACCTTTTTTTGTAGCAGAGCGGACTTCAGAGTCTCTTCTAAAGTGTTGCCGGGACGAATACATAATTCCCCTTGGATGTCTTTAAAGCGCATTTTGGCAATAAACATATCCCTCACAACCTTTTTCTCTTGTGCTACTGTCCAACTACACAGGACTGCTTGACCTGTTGGACGTGAGAAAAGGGCTTCCAGACACTCACGGTCAGAGTGGACCGCGTTTTAGATTTGAAGACGTTCTCTGATATAGTTCTTGTCCTTCTTGAATAGTAGAACACAGTTATGAGAAAACTCTTTGAACGAAATATCACTAAGGTCTGAATGTGGATAAGTTTGAAGAAATGTTTTTCTGCCCTCTGAACCCAGAGAAAAGAATAGTCTGTACTTGATGCGCTGTTGTGCCTCCTGAAAGAAAAAATCAGGTTCAATCCTGGGACCTTTTGACCTTCTTTCCTCATTGATTTCATCGACCCTGCGAACTGCCGCAGCATCCCGTGCGAGGTGGTTGACGGTCGCAGTCGCATCCTCACTAGTACCGACAGCTTCTGGCTTTCGGTCCCGGTCGTCATGAACCACGCCTGTCGGTTTTAACAACTCTCGGGGGTATTATTTCTCTCGCAACGTGATGGCAAGATTAAATTGTCTGATCCATGATTTCCAGGTGCTTGGCGGGTCGGACGTCGGCTTGTGCCAGAATACGGGCACACATAGCAGGTCAGTCCAGTCGTCGGAAACCGGAACTGCTGGCTGCGCCATGTTGTATATCAGAAGACTCAGATAAGACAAAGACTAATATTTAAATCATCTTCCTATGATTTTCTATGATTTTCTTATTGGGCGTATCTATGATTTTCCATTACGTCGAACTTTTTTCCAAGCTGACCAAATGCATTTTCCGAGCGCTCCCAGAAGACAGTAAATACACTATTTTGAGGTCATAATGCATGCCGTTTGAGCTTTTTTAAGAAATTTTTCGACAAAAAAATGCGTTTTTTCTTGAGCACACTCCCCTTCAAATTTAGTGCGTATTTGCGCCAAAGTTTCAGGGTTGGTTGCCAAAACGGATAACATCAAAAAATCCAAAGGGGGAACCTTTGATTAGTGAGTGGGTCGAATCACTGAGGACGACGAGTCATCCAGAACCCTCCCCTCCCCTCCCCTCCCCTAAATCCGCCCCTGTTTATATCATAGTTATTAAATTAAAGAGCAGTGCAAACATCCCTCTTTATAAACATTATCTAGTTTTTAGCAAAATCAAAATTGGCATAATGCTGTTTCATCATCACGTTCCGGCGCCCTTCACCTTCATCCTTATCGTTTTGTCAAATTTTTTTATTTATCGTTGTCAGGTTGCCGACGTTAGTTGAAGCCGCAGGCGGCAACTCCTCGGAGCTTTCAGACTACGACGGATTCAACATGCTTAATATTCTCACTGGATCAGACGTTGAGAACCCGAGAAGCGAAGTAGTTCTCAACATAAACTCAATTACAAACCTCAAAGCCATCAAAGTCGGCGATTTTAAGTACATGCTGAACCCTAATGACCGCATGAGTGATGAGTTCGACAACTGGTTTGCAGCTCCTGGAATCAATCCTGACACGAATGAAACTGTAGTTCCAGACTGCAAGCCAGCGCAGATATTTTGTGGTCCAGTTCCAACAGCAGTAAATCCAAGTTGCTTCTCGAGCCAAACCAACCGAACCGAATGTCTATTCAACATCAAGAACGATCCCTGTGAATACTACAACTTGGTCGATAATCCTATGTACAATAAAATTAAAAACGATATCTTACAACGTCTTGAGAAATGGGAGAGTTTACAAGTTTTGCCTCAAAACCCGCCCGTAGATCCGGAAGGAAACCCAAAATTGCAGAATTATAACTGGCAACCGTGGACGGACGACCCAAATCTACCAACAGAGAGCGCAAACTCTGGAGAAAAAATGAAAACAACTGAAAAGTGATTTTTATTTGGAAATATTTTAGCTTCGTTTTGCTACTATTAACTAAAATTGCAAGCCAGTGTAAGCAAACCAACAAAACTATTATATTTTTAAAATCACAGCTTGATTGTTAAGTTGATTGAGGAGGAGGAGCGGGGGCGGACGCCCCTTTCTCTTAGGGATTCGGCCCCCTGCCCACCCAAAGAGTCCCCCTTTGAACTAATTTGAGATATCCATTTTTGGCTGACTGAGCCTTAATTTTTTCTAAAGGCACCTTGGGCGCCAAAATATACTAATTTTAAGGGGGGACCGTGTGCCAAAAAACACAATTTTTCAGTCAGCATTTTCCAAAAAGTTTTTAAAAACAACGCCTTTTTGACCTGCGGCGCTAGAAAATTTGGCCAAAATAGGGCCTTTATAATGATTTGGCAGAGCTCAGGAAATCGATTTGTTCGACCTAAAAAAAGTCGACTAAATCTTTGAATTTTTTTTTTGAAAATCGGCTCCTTCCCCTCGAGAAAATCTTATCTTTAAGCCGCGGTCTTCCCGTAAGTAGTCATTTATCTAAGGATGATCTTAAAATGTTTATTTCTATACTCAGTAGTCGAGCTATACTTTGACCTTTCAAACAATGAGTGTTTAGGCAGGGGCGGATTTAGGGCGGGGGGGAGGGGGCGGACGCTCTTTTTTTTCAGGGATTTAACCCCATGCCGAATCAAAGGATCCCCACTTTGTACTATTTTGAGATATCCATTTTTGGTTGACGGACCCTAAAAATTTTTCTAAAAGCGCCTTGGGCGCCAATATATACTCATTTTGAGGGGGCGCGCGCCGAAAATACGCTACTTTTGGTCAAAACTTTCCAAAAATTGCTTAAAAACGCTTTTTTTGGCCTGTTTTTTTTTCAAAAATTTGCCTGCGAGTCTTTGGAGTGTTTGGGGAGAGGTCGGATAATCAATTTTGTCTACCTAAAAAAAGGTAGCGTAACAATAAGAGCGAAACGCTTGCCTGAATTCAATGCAATGATTTATTTTACCGCTTACGCTTCAAGAAAACTAAATAAGTTGCGCGTAAGTTTTCCCAAACTGGAATGTAGCTGTTGAAATAGTCCCAGTTTCAGACCAAATTAATTTTAAGAAAAAATCAAGCACCAGTAAATTATCTTTTTTTTTGGTTTTGAGCTTCAGATAACAATATCATCCAGACTGTATTGAAAATCACCGTGAAAACTTTTAGAAAATCAAAAAAAAACATCTGAATAAGAAAAAAAATAAAAACTCACTGAGTTAGGACCGAGTTGGTTAACTCATAGAGTAATTTCGGATAGGGTACACCGTCTGCTCGTCACGCTATCTTATTTTCGGCCGGATAGATTCGTGCAACTTCTTAGTCTAATACCGATCCTAATCTTACTCTTATACTATCTAGTCTCAGGTTGTTTAACTAGTCTCTGCTAGGCTCAATAGATCTAGGGTATACTGGTTTATTGCGGCTGCTGAAGTGCTCGGGAGAGTCCAACTAATTTCTAAGTTAAATTCAAATCTCTCTGGTGCTGAAATTACAAGTAACTTCAGCACTTACAAATAAGTGGGTTGTTAGTTAGATGGATCATGATTGGTTAATATTAAATACTTTACATTGGTAAAATATCTAAATTATCCAATCATAAAATGTAGTTTAGATCAGGTTCCACCCATCCGGGTTTTACAGAATTTTTTAGAATAGTTCTTCTGCAATTCGAAGGATGGATGATGGACGTTGGTGTTTGGCGAACATCATATTTCTTTTGTTTCCTCTTTGTTAAAGAAATTCCAGGAAGCTGGAGTTAGAGACATAAGACGTTGTGTCTTCTAGTGACAACGACTAAGTCTTTGCAACAAACTCAAATCTGATTTCAGAATGGTTTGCTATGTCAGGTTTTTCTGTTCTGCGTGGAGATTGTGCGTGGAGGGGATGCCTGGTTACTCGGATCTGTACGTATACTTGAACATCGAGGTGGTCATTGGTCTAGTTCAATGAAGTCCTTTTCTGCGAAGTCAAGTCGTACTCTAAATCCTTTGAGTTGTGATTGTGAGTGGCATATCGATTGTGGTTGGTCATTCTCTCTCGAGTGTAGTGGGGTCGTTTTGTCTTTAGATGTTCGTCCTTGGTGTTGTATTCTGATCTATGTATTGCATAATGTAATTTACATTTTATAAAACATTTATTAGTTTAATATTTTTTAATTATGATTTTAGTTAGTTGTTTTCACAAAAGCTTTTTGTTTTAGTTCGGTTATTTTGAAGAGTTACTCACACTTGAGTAGCTCTTATTAAAAATAGAGGTGTGGTCACAAAGCGTGGATGTAGCGCGGTGGGTTAGGCCGGCTATAGAGCATGCCCAGGACGTCCTTCCTGGTGGGTTAGGCCAGGAGTGGGAGTATGATTTCATGCGGTTTTTGTGAGGGGTCCTGTTATGTGACAACGTTTTATGTTGGGTTTGTTGTGGTTTTTCTTATGTCTTGTTGGTTATGTCCTTTTTCCAAAAAGCAAATTGTTCGTGGTATGGGTTTGTCTTTCGACTTTTTTGTGTTTTATTATTTCTTTCTTAGACTTTATAATAGTCTTCAAAAGAATAAATTATCCAGTTTTAAACTGGGTTAATCCGGTTTGGGTACCGTTGGTTTCCTTTTCTTAGTCATGCTGTTATTCTATGATTTGTGGTATTTAGTAAGCTGCGTTGGTTAGTTTTGTTTAGTATATGATTCCTTTCCAACCGGGTTAAAGGAAGGTTTGAAACATGTTATTATATGTTAGAGTTGTTTAGTGTGAAAACTTGAAACTGAAATTCATTATTTTAAACAATTCTTCGTGGGCGAGCTGTGCGAGTGTGGATAGAATTTCTGTGCGAATGAATGAGAATATCAAAATGTTAGTACTGCATTTGCTTCTTATTAATTTACTGCATAGAATTTGGAAATTTACTGCTAGTTATGGGGGAATTTTAAGTTACAAATTTTCATCATAATTAGATTTACTGCTTGTGGGGAAAATTTTAGAAATGATTTTACTGCATTGGTATTAAATTTATAAATTTATAAGTGTAAGAGATTAATAGAATTGTTGAAATCTGTTTGATGAAATTTGCGATCTTTATTTGTTTTTTGTGGTTTTTGTAGGTGATCGTCGGATGAAGACTAAAAATCTAAAGAAAACATGGATAAAGAATGGTGAGTTTTTAATATTTTAATTAGTTAGTAATATTTATTTAATTCATACTTACCTGTTAGTCGTCGGGGAAAAAACCGTGGGGGAAGATGTCGTGGATGAGATCGGAATTTGTTACTAGTTTAGCTAAGATGCGGATGATATTTTTAGTCTGAAGCAGTGGCCAAAGCAATTGAAGTGCCTTAATAGTGGTTAGTTCTTCAGTGCCAACTGCAAACTCATAAGGTGTGTTTTGGATTAGATTATATAATTTGTGATTGAATTTAGTGTTGTGGATGAATTCTAAAATTGGGATTTCTATGGGTTGTACAAACTCGTGCGGGATAAGGAAGGGTCGGGATTCTTCGGCGTTGAAGGTCTTGGTGATGGGACAGAAGATGTACATTTGGGTTATGGGATCATAATTGCGAAGAATACCATGAAGGTTAGTATCTTTAATGCAATATGTGAAATTTAGGAAAAATGGTGAAGTGTATTTGGAATTAATGAATTGAAAGCGATGGTGTGGTTGTCTAGAGGGTGTGTGTAGGTCAAAGTGATTTTGGATGAAGCGGTAATAACTATATGTGTGGGTTTGTTTAGTGCGCAACATAATATCGTGTGAGCAGTGTAAATCTCTTTCGTGTGGTGCAAGGAAATGAAAGGTTAGTGAAAATATTTGGAAGCGTTCTTTAAAACTTTCGTATGCTTGTGTGTCTGTTAGTGCTTCTGAAATAATGTGATCAAACTTTCGGTCGAAGATGTTTAGTGTAAATATATACGGTGTCTTGATGAAAAATTTCTCGGTAATTTGTGGATTAGCGAAGCGATCGTCGTCTAAGAATTGATCTTGGTTAGCTCTGATGATGTTGTGATCATAGTATTCGAGTGTATATTCGTTAGCTCTAGGTGCAGTGTGTGTTTTTAGTGATTTTTTATATCCAACGTAAATAAATTGTCTAGCGGTTAGTGGTGTAGTGAGTCGATATAGCATGTCCGTATTTCGCTCTATATCAATGTGAGTGTTAGATAAAGGTAAGCAAAGAGGGTTAGTAAAATGATAATATGAGGTCCAAGAGAGAGTGGGCATTAAAACGTATTCATCTACAAAGTTGCGTGTTTCGTTAGTGTCGTGGGGGGTGTTTAAGGTGTATTGTGGGAATGAGGGTAAGGTGATGGCTAAAAATTCTTTTGTGTTAGTATGCTTGGGGTGGTTGATGTATTCACGGGCTGTTCCTGGTTTTGCTGGGAAAGGATGGTTGGGGAACTTTCTTTTAAAAGTGCGGTAAGCTCTATTAGTGTTGAGTGAAGATTCAGTTGATGTGGATGATAGTGCTAATGATTCAGTATAATTTGAAGAGGGTGTAGGGGTAGGGGGGTTGGATGAATTTATTGTGGAGGAGATTTGGTTTATGGTTGGGGTATTAAGGTGGTAGGGTTGTTGTTGAAGGGTAATAAAATTATCTAGCTCTGGGGAGATTCGGGGGGTGTCTGGAGAATGAGATGATTGGTCAGAATGGTACGAGGAGTAGGTTGGGGTAACTTGGGAAGCATAAGAGGGTGTGGGAGTGATTGGGTCAGGGTTATTGGATAATATGGGTTGAAAAGGGGGTTGAGAAAATTTAGAAGAGTTATGAAAATTATTGGATGGGGATGGTTCTGAGTCGGCAAATTCATCGGGGGTTTCAATATTCGGGTTATTGAGTTGTGAGATGGAATATAAAACTGAGATGTGTGAATTAGTGTCGGAATTCATGCCTGATGTTACATTACTAGATGGAAAATCGGGTGGCGGAAAAGCAAAAAGTGGTATTATTGGGATTGGAGAGGTAAGATTGGTTGGGTGGGAATTTGATCGGTGTAGTGATCCAAGTTGGCGGCTCATCGTGGGCTAAAAAAATGAT